ATATTAATGATACCAGAATTTCACATGGGCCGGGTGCAGTAAACAGCGGACACAGTACAGTAAGGGCAATGCTTTCCCCAAGAAGCTAATGAATACAGGCATTTAATTAGACATTCAAACCCCTTGTCATGGCCAAATTCTCCCTTGGGGTCTTTCAAACATTTGTTTTGAATAATTCACTTGAAGACTTGAAAATACTAATTGATTTTAAAGTACAACCCAAGGGGAGGAGGCAGCACACAAGCTGCAAATTACAGTCCCAGGAATATACAGTTGCACCTGACCTTAAAAATAAGCTGGGACTTGTGATACAGTGTCCTTCCTATAGAGGGGAAAGCAGCTACAAGGGATCACAATGTGGTTTGATACTTAAAATATGTCTAATGCAACCTGCAAAAATTACAAAAAAATATAAATAAATGTTAATGTTTGAGTTTGAACCTGCTGTGGGAGTAATAATAATATTAATATTATTAATAATGTGACTATCTCAACTTGTAAGTAGGTGTGTCTATACCTAAAGGGAAAAAAAACCATGTTAAAATACAGGTTTGTGTAAATATCTGTAAAAGTGTATTGAAATAATTCAGGATTTGATGTTTGATTGAGCTGCATCATTGTACTGCCTGGTTTTAAATGCACACTTCCACATTCCTTCCTCAAAATCATAATTGGATAGAAATTTACAAAAATATATATATATTTATTAAGAAACAAATGATACTATCAATATTTAAATAGCAACTGGCCTGTAATAAACACTTACAATGCCCACTTACACAGGAGGTGGTCTTTATTTTTATATTAGCTTTTTTTTTTTCCAGTCCCTATGTTCTACTGGAGGTGGTCTAGGGAAAAAATATATATAAAAAGACAAAAGAAATACTTATGACAACAGCAATCTAGAACTTACAACTACTTGTATATTTAACTATATGAATATATGTCATTTTGTAATCTTTCAGCATCCTTGTATTTGGAGAGATCTGTACTGTTAGGAACCAACTTTTTTTTTGTTTGAAGCTAGTTCTTCCTCCAAGAGTTGGTCCCATTCATCGAGGGATTGTGATGCAATTCATTAGAAGTAAAGAGTTGACATAAGGTAAATCTACATGGAGAGGGCCTTTCATTCTGTGTGAGGGGAAAGCCTCATTAACAATCTCTAACAAGGCGTGCAGATGTTGGGATTGGACAGCCCCTCCATAATACCGGGGCCCTAGCAGGATGTCCACTTAATGAGGGTCAGCAGCGCTGGCCACGGATGGAATATTCAAATTTCATCCCTCACTAGCCAGCTATTTTGTTTTTTTTTAAATAAATGGCAGAATAAACATTTAAACAACTTTTTCCATTTGTTTACTTTACATAAAAGTCTCCAACACAGAAAAGAAAAAAAAAAACAACTTTCCACTACCAGGTCCAAAGTTTGTTTGATTAACCCCTTGCCATCCATGGGAGGTCTTGGCAACATGCTTGGCAGGAGCGAAAAGGGTTAAAGGTTTCTTTTACTTTCGACGTAATTATGTTTTCACGGGATTAATGGGCGAAAATGTGCAATATGATGGGGCATTTTTGTAGTTTGTGACAGAATTATTTAAATCAGCATGATGCCTTAATGACATGTCATTCATCAGAATAATGCTGGGTCGTTTTTTTTTTTTTTTATATATATATATATATATATATATATATACACACACACACACATCTTTGTCTTGCTACAAGGATTACTATCTTTGTATATTTAATCATGCCAACACACATATACACATGCACATTTATAATTGTATGAATGCACACACAATAAACTATGTACAGTATTAACCTGGGCATGCACACTTAGATCATCATCATTATAAATTTCTGCATTGAATTGACCAAACATTCACACAGATGCAACTTTGTCCATAACTGCTTTATGCAAATAAGACATCTACACACAAAACATTGGAGGCATTTAAACATGTAAATAAAGCAGGGAATGAATGACATCTAGATATACACACCCATACAGGCTTGTAATAAACTTGTATATATTATTACTACAGAAGTGTAAGGAATATGGTAACTTATCTGAAGCTAGGAGGTAAGGGATGTAGCTGTGAATGAACAGCAGTGATGTCAAACTCCCCTTGTATACCAGACTCAGAAGCATCATCAATGGAATATGGAGAGCTGCATTCTAACCTCTGTGATTGCTCCTCAGCAGCAGAGTGCACAAGAGATGCTCCATCCTCCCCACAGCACACTGTCAGGCCCCTGGTAATCGCTGGCCGGTGAGCACAAGCAGTGTGTGAATGACAGAGGCCAGTTCAGAGGCTGCAACACATAGGATTCCCCCAGCCCTGCAGAGAGACACAGAGAGGCACACAGACAGCATGCACCCAGCAGCAGCAGCACAAAGGCAGACTTGATCTTGGGAAACAGTGCACAGCACCTGCAGCCTGACTGCACACTAATCCCCCCTCTCCCTCTGTCTCTGCTCTCTAAAAGATGGGTCCATTTCATTTAACTATTAAACTGCCTAATCCTCCCACCCCTATTTAAATTTTTTTTTTCCCTCTCTCTGACCCCCCATCTACAATAGCAAAGCCCCCAAAAGGTCAGCAGCAGTGCTGGAACAAGGCATGTAATCACAGGGAAGCGATTCAGCTTAGTGAAAGGGGCTGTAGAGGGAACTTACAGGATCCGGAAAGGATTTGCAGGCTGGACTATGCCGTGTTCTTTTGCTGTGTGCTCTGGTCTCCCTGCTGATGGCTGCCCAGCTCAGACCATTTATGCCTCTATCTCAATACATCACCATCTTCCAACTCTATATTTGAGGCAATGAGATTTTCTAGGGGGGGTTCGCAATAAGCCAATTCCATTGATAGTTTTCAGCCAGCAGCTGCAGTCATTAAAAGGCATTTGGCCCCCTCACACAAAGATGGAGCGCCAACAATTATCTGCTTGTGCGTTTAAGGACATAAGAATGTGTCCCTAACACGCTTAGCCAGGGCGAGCCCAATCATTGCCTGGAGTCGGCTCCACACTCAGGATTTTTCTAGAGAAACTAATACATCAGTGCTGTTCAGCCATATTTTAACAGAAATGACATCACCGCTCCTCAAATATGTTATGCATTTACAGAAGTGACATCACTACCTTCAAAATCTAAACTATAGCTGGACATAAGTGACGTCACTACTCTTCTAATGCAAGTTAGTTAACTTCGTGATATGTTAAGCACTTAATTACTCATGGCTCATTAGCTGTACTACTAATAGGTCTACACGTTTTGAGGCAATCCTATTGGCCCTCCCCGTTGCTGTAACCTATGTGTGGCCCCTGTGCATGTGATACTCTGAGCTGCTTCAGCTATGAAGGGGAACCTACTCAGCCTCCATCTCTGTCCCTTTCTTTTGCTGAAGTTGCATGTCACGCTATGTCTCCTGTTTTAATTGTTATATCTGTTTTCCATTGAGGCTGGAAGTAGTTGGGGCTCTATGCTTTGCCCCTAGATCTCCATCGGAATGCAGAAAGGATCTTTGAAAAAAAAAAAAAATTTGAATTCCTCAATGATTTTTTTTTCTTGTAGAAAGGCGGCTTAGGATAATTATTTCAGCTTTACTGAGGGCAGATTAGCAGAAGTCTGGGTGCTGCGTTTCAATACGCGTTGTACATGCCTTTACAATGTGGCTATTGTTTGCTACTGTGTGTGAACCCATTCAAAATATACACTTTTTAACACCAAGCAAAGTCCTGTCTAAATATACACAGTAAGGCTGGAAAGACTTCCCTGACCCGTACAAATCTCTGTAAATCACACTGCCATAGCTACACAAACTCAACAAAGCATTGAGATGCTGATTAAATCTTCTC